AGGTATATACTCTAGGAATACGATTGTTTGGATTTTATTTAGTTTGGGCATCATTACATACATAAGACCACGAGAGTCGAGATCTTTTAGCAGTCCACATAAATTTAATTTTTGATGAGTATACGTATTATATATACAATATATAAATATATTAATTACAAAGGTAAATCCATCTACATATGCATTTTTTAATTTAATTTATCATTTAAATAGACACGGGTTATGGAGCTTGCCAAACGCCAAACGGTAAATCCGGCGAATGTATGCTAATAAATAAATGCACTGAACTATATAACATGGCCGTTAAGCCAAATTTAGAAGATAATGACATAATATTTTTAAGGCAGAGCAGATGCGGTTCACTTGGTAAGAATATTCTGGTGAGTACAAGCATATTTATTCATTTAGACCCGCATAAAAACTATTGACAAATTCAATAAATGCTAATTTTGTCCCGAATATAGGCGACTARAATTATATTGAATCAACTATACCTACATTCCTAATACATATATTGTATTAGTTATAATTTGCATCGATAAATAAACGTTGGCATATAAGAATATCAAATAAATTTTTTTGATGAGATCGTCCAAAATAAAAATATACCTACTTATAAACATTGATATCATTTTCAATATTTATAAATTTTAATCGGCAAACACTTTTTGACTGGTGTCAAAGCTTACATATGGTATGTGTCGAGAAAAAAATACTTTGCTAAACTTTACTGGTGTATCTGGTATTCAAAATCGTGTCATGGCATAATTCTCCAATCAGACAAGTGTTGGAAATAAAACGTTCAACGGTTTAAAGCCATAGAGACGGTCACGCATCTTTATGAATTTATTTTCATAWKATATGGTTGTCAAAAAAGTCTTGCGGTATTTTCGCTAGTTGAAAAATAAAAAATTCAATAAAAATACCGCAAGAAATACCGCAAGACTTTTTTGACAAACTATTATTTAGTATACATACATATATTTATAAAACTTTATATTCACATACGAGTACATACATACATATATGTATGTTTAAGTTAGATTTAAGCTTTTTTAAGACAACTCGAAAAATGCATTAAATACTACTACAAGTATATCTCTTTTCATTTACTTTTACTTTCAGGTTTGCTGTCATAAGTCATTAGGTGGAGTGTCAGGTAAAAAAACACAAAAAATAGATACACCGAACTTTCGGAATAAAATGTAATACATATGTAAATATACAACTTAACTTAAAAATTAAAATATCGTATTCAGAGGAGCCAAAGCCACTATATGGCTACTAGCGGAACGACTGATTTCAACTACATATGGTATTAATCTGAATTAGTTTCAAAGAAATATTGCTACCCAATTTTAATAAGATTTATATAATGCCCAATATGTGTGGTCTAGCGAAACTATTAAACCGATCCAATTAGCTTGGAATCCGAAACCATTCTTAGGAAACATACATTCACTAATTTTATCAATATGCACATTTCATTCACAGAACGACAGTTTTCTTCTAGATATAAGCAGTGGTGGGTTGTTTAGTTCCGCGCATTGTTCGATTTCTATTTTTATATTCTTACAATCGTTTGCTACAGAGAACTACTAAAACTACAATAACCAAATGCTATAAGAACTCCGACCGATAAGTCAATTACTCAATACGCGACCAAACCGATTTCGACTAAATTTATTACGTACCATATTCTTAYGTCACAGTGCGAAAATTGGCTAAATCGGAATACAACTACGTCAACTTCCCCTATAACACAGTTTAAAATTCCATTTGGTTCTTTTACTTTCCAGTGTGCAAATCAAGAAGTAAAAGTTTAGATATCCTGATGAAACCTGACACACGTGTTCTAAACACCATATGAAGTTAGMTATTGAACATGGATGAAATTGAACTATTGCGACGAACACCACAGATCAACGTTAGGTAAAAACTACTAAAAGATGGATAAGGCAAGAAATAAAAACGTTAGGATAATTCGGTATAAAAATTTGACATTGGGCGTGTCACTGCGCACCTTTAAGTGAAAAGCCATAACTTAGGACCAATTTGTACCAAATTCAGTGCACAAAGTTACCTCGACATTCGTTTGTTATTTCAGTTCACAGATTATAAATCAAGGACTAGCATGGTTGAAGTAATAAAATCTTGAGTAAATAGTGCCTCTGAGGAATGCCATCTCACGTTCAAAAATTTTCAGATCACCACTGTATACAACTAATTTTTTACCGATATCGATAAAACTCTAAAGTATGTTGAAGTTCTCCTGATAATAGTGTCTCTRTGTATTAAAAATTGTTTGAATCGGGTCAAAACTGCCCTGGACTCCCGTAAACCTAATATAAAGATTTTCTAACTTCCGGATGACTTTATACCCGGTGGCTAAATGAGCACCTGACCCCCCTCTTAATATAATACACCTACGCCCCACACATACACACCATACACACCATACCCAACCCGACTACACCATCCATATCATCCACACCTCATACTCAACACATCTACATAATATTCATCATCCACACTTCACACTCAACACACCGGCATCATCTACACCACACACGAGAACATGGCACACAATCAACAAAAGGGACTGGCGTACGGCGCCCAGCCTCTTTTTCATTCGATCCGCACGCAGATACGTCTCGCCAGTCAACTATACGTTTTTACCCGCTTAGTGATTCGATAAGCAAAGGTGAGTTGCCGCGAGTTCTTTTATGTTATATTTTTTCTACCCGGAATTTTCGAACAGCTGGCGAACTATATTCCATATGATTGGTGATTGTATGTGAGGTATCTTAATGAAACTCAGGGTACATTTTTTTTAGTAAGTCTTACTTGCAAAAATCAATAAAACTGGGTCAATACTACCCCAACTCCCATATTTTCCAGAAGAAGTTTATCAAACTTTGATTCTTGCAAGTTGCAAGAGTATAAAATGTACGGTTACACCCGAAATTAATCCTTCTTAGTTATTACATTTCTTATTTACATATCTGGATTTTCATGTTTTTATATGTAAGCGTGCTTTAAAATCGGCATAGAGCTGTTATCAAAATAATTAGAGTGGCTATTGTAAATGTGACTTAATGGTTTCGAATCTATTGTTTCATTTTTACGTAATTAGTAATGAATAGGTATATACAAAAAACCACAAATTTATGGTATATATATACTATACGATTCTTAAAAAGATAATATGGAAATTATAATAAAAATTGTTTTTCAAAATAATAGGATTGCCCTAGAAAATTGCAAAAGAAGCATAAACGAGTTTTTAGATATTATAGTTTTGAGCAAAAATAATATTCATTAGAATAAACTAATATTTTGTGACAACTGCAGCACTGCGCTTTGACAATGATTACACAAATTTTTGGCATCAGTGTGGAACAGAWAAAAGTCAAAAGTATATAAGGATCTTCATGATTTGCACAAAAAATCAAAAAATATATGTAATTACTACTGCGACTAGAAGAAAATAAGCAAGAGCACTATTTTTTTTATAAAAGCTATATATTTTTCACAGATGAATGCGAAACTCCGAATGGAAAAAGAGGACGTTGCAAATCTATCTTAGAATGTAGTTCATTACTACCATTAGTCAAAGATGATTTATCGGCAAGTGAGAGAAACTTCTTGACTAAAAGCGTGTGTGGACAAGGCAATCGACAGGTAAAAGGACTATCTTCATCTCAACTCTTAAATTATATGTTACAATAAATAAAACCATCCTACATTATTAAAACAATGCCAAAAATAGGGGTGCAGCAAAGTTTATTTTCATTAATAGCTATAAATAAGAGCTTATTTCTAAGGTAAAATTTGATTTACTATTCAAGGAGTTATCTTCTAAGGCGATAAAACGATTCTAGCGATCACAAAAKTTTTCAATACCRTTTTTATAATACATTTGCCCTAAGCCTCAGCTTCCTACATACCTCTTCAGTATTGGTAAAKCGCGGTGGATGTGAAAGCATATTGAAACCCGATTTTATCCTCCAAACGTTCAAATAACGCAATGTATTATGCGTATTAATGGTATTTCCCTTTTTAAGTTAGTTGATAAATATTACAAGTAATCCCAAAATACTGATGTCATAAACTTGCCAGCCGACTTTTTCGTCTTTCACGCTTTAGGGTTGGTTCATCGTGTGCAGTTCACTCTGCTGACTTGTCGGATCTTGGAATCGTGTTCCATCCATTGCCACAAATCGACACTCCTCACAATCAGAAATACTTTGTTGTTTTTATTGGATTCCTGAATATTCACTCACAATTTATCCAATACGTTCCTTTGGTATCTTTAGAGTCTCAGCTCAGCACTTTTCGAGCATCCGAAATTATTTAGGGGACTTCTTTGATGTTTTCGTCGGTAACAGCCTCCTTAGTGCGCCTATTGCCTACATCATCCTCCGTCGGTCAGTTCGCCTCGTTCAAAGTTAGCAAACAACTTTTCAACGGTTGATTTTCCTGGTGCAAAGTCCAAATAATGTTGATTCAATCCAAACCTTGACTTTACCACGAAATTTCTTGTGATCCATTTCTTATAAWCTAACACAAGTTTCTTAACTCAAAATGCTATATCTCRTAAACTAATCGACCATAGCTGTCAAATATGCAAATATGTACAGGTAGGGGCTTACTRAAAATCATATTTTGCAGCACATTAATATTATTGGTTATATACTGAAAACGTCAATCCAACTAAAGCAAATATGTTATATTAATCATATTAGTGATGTGCACCATAATTAATGTTACTAATATACATATGTATGTATATATGAATGTTTACCTATGTTTAGGTATGCTGCCCCGACCCTCCGACCAATAATCGTGGAGAATTACCTTTGCCACCGAACTGTGGAAAAATTCCTTTAACAGGACGAATTTTTGGTGGAACTGCGACAGATATTGATGAATTTCCATGGACAGCATTACTTATATACGCTAAAGGTAAGAACGTTTCAAGTAGTAAAAATAAAGAATACTTTATTAGAATGGAAAACATTCATTATGAGGTTATTAATTTCTGTTTTCCGTTCTACAGATATAGGAACTAATTTTACTGATTCCAAACTTTATGCATCGAAACTTTTAGAACAGGCATTATACTTTTGCCAGTTCTTCCAATCTAASTTAAATATTCAAACTTATGTAAAAGTCATTATTCGGTGAAGCTGTGAATTGATTACAATTGGTATTTTATTGGATGTTATTATAGATCATCGAATGACTTACGTGTATTWATGCTTACGAATTTTTATTACAAATGGATTAAAATTTAGATTAAATTAGATTAGATTGGATTAAAAATTAGATTTTTGGGATTTTATAGACAATGATGTAAAAATATATTGAGTATAGGAGAACCACGTCAGCCAGAGGATCAGAAATGTATACATTAGGATATAAAGTTTGGCAAAAGATTAAATGAATTCATTTGCAGCGCTTAATTGTAATATAATATTAAAAAAAATAACTTATCCACTATTATTAGAAAGACAACTCTCTGAATTAGATTAATATAACTCACATATTGACCGATGTACATCAACTTCGTTAGTTGATGTTTAAAAACCTTTAGGTATCATTGGGTCGGGTATCGACCATTTTCACTATATAACATAAAAACATGGAAATAATGTTATGATCAAAAATTGGTGACTTAAKATAACCGGTGTCAGTTAAAAAAAAACAAACCAATACTTCTTCCAATTATATATTTTTTTGTTTTATATTAGTTAGTAATAATACTTATACATTTTTGATTCACGGATTCATTTGCAATACCAAGATTTCATATTTTTTACTCAAGTTATCGCCTRCTGCGATGGGCTGACGATCATATATGTAGATCTGTAGCAGCACGTTGCAAGAGTATAAAAATGCGTACAACTTTCATAGAATTTAATCAGATTTTTTTATGTTTATATTTTAATTTTTTGAATTTTAGCTTTTTGAAAACTCCATAAAAATTAAACATTTTGCTTCGAGCTATTCGACCACGAAAATCAGATTGGCGTAAAATATCCCTTAATTTCACTTTCACCAACGGACTGTTTAGGCTAACGCACTTATTGCTGGGTACTTTTGTTCTCACGCAATGTGGTTCTACCGCGATTGATTGTCCGAGCAAGCGATAACTTCCGTAAAAATTGCGATGTCTTGATAWAACTTTGTTCTCGTAATATTTAGCATCCTRAGGAGGATGCCCGGAAATAGGTCACTGTGCTGTTAGGAGAATTTATTGTTACAGAGTATTGAGGTATGGAAGGGCATCTATAATTTAAAATCTAATAAAACGTCCCGCACTCCCTTAAGTTTACTGAACGTATCTTAAAAATKTCTRAAGCTAAATCAACCAAACTTGCTTTTTCTAACTCCCCCTATTACAGTGTAACGCCTTTTTTTGGAATTTCGGTAAAGAAACGTTCCGTGAGATTAATGRTGTTTTAGGGGATGGTACTTCACTTCAAACTGCGGAGAAATGGTTTCGACGATAAAACCAGCCGGYGGAAGACCAGTAACGACGAATACCGATCAARTCATGGAAAACATCGAGTTAGACCATGTGACATCTCGTGACATCGCCCAGAAGATGGACATAGGATATGGGAAAAGGTTTATCGCATCCACGCCCTTGTTGGTGTAAAGTTGAACTCAAAAGAGGCTTGTGAAAATCCGAGTTCTTCGCAAATAAGGAGTGAGCCTTCAACGAGGGGGGTATTATGACGTTGCCGTCTAGCTGGAAACATATTGTCGAACGAAACGGCCCATATTTGAACTAAATCCGATCACTGTAACACTTTTTATAAAGCATTGAATAAAGAGCAAAAAATCAGARGGGAGATATTTGACAACCTAATATTTACAGACAGGGTGGTTGAGAAGGGTTTATCGGAGCCGGTAWCAAATTTGAACAAGGGGTATGCACCGCCCATCTTTAGATAAAATCATACCTCAGCGAACACTCTAATAATTTCAACCAAATCCTAATATTATTCGAATATTCGAATGTTACAGTGTAAAAATGAACGAAATCGGACTACAACCACGCCTATTTCACATTTAAGTTTTTTCACTTTACAAGCCCACAAATGAAGGAWAGAATTATCGGAATAAAAATCGACTAACTACTTATGTAACATAAAGAATATAGAACTTAAATAAGTAAAAGTATTWTATCAGATATAGGACTCGATTAAAAATTGCTGTATTTGTTGTAAGAGATGTTGTTGCGACCCAAACGGAGCAAAGTGAGCTATGACGTGGGCAGCTCGGGCCTGGTTAAAAATCCCTTGCTTACTTCTTTTAATTTTCCTTAGTATCCYACTTTCATCAGTTTCTAAATATAATTATACCCTTTGGAGTCACACATTTTGGCGAAATCCCACATCTGCTAACTGACCTGCACGACCGCTTTCAACCAAATTCGGTATCATATATCCTGACTATCCAACGCTGCATTATGATAGTCGGGCGCRGTCGGGCCACAACCACGCCGACTTCTCATATAGCATAACTTTAGATTTCATAWGAAGCTTTCACTTTACGGTACGCAGGTTTAGCAATAATGAATGTATTTGAATAAAACTTTACTCGAATAGTTTGCCTAAAGTAAGCCACCTTAAAAATTGTTCAAGGCCCTAAGTACGGAATGTGT